TATTATACATTTCTAATTATTAAAACTAGAAGAAGATAAGAAGGAAGTTAAATCAAGATTAAAGTTAATTTATATTAGCAGAAACAGGCAATTCCATCATAAAGGTAAAACCTCAAATCAACCTCAAATCAATTACATTGTAAAAATCTGTAAAAATTTAGTTAATTGAACATATATAAAGCGGATTACTAATCATTCACCAATTATTAAATCGTCACATACACGACAATAATATTTTTTTTCCCCTTTCTAGCGCACGATCAGCACAGCAAACGAGTTTTATGACATTTTTTTTGCCTCGCACTGTTCATTATCGCAAATAACTCGACGCGAGAGCGATAATTTGTTTTCGAGACACGTACGGGATGCAACGTAGGTGAGAAGAGCGCGGATTCGATCCGTTCACGGCCAACTTCCTGCTGCTTCTGCGGCGACCTAACCTAGGCGTGCCGGGTATTTGCGATCGAGTTATGCTCCGAACCGGGAGCTCCAACTATCGTTCGTGTAAAAGATAACCGTCGCAGTGTCAATGATACTCGAGTGTCGAGCAAAGGTCGCTGAGACGCGACTTCATCTCGCTAAGGAGGGACGTTCCCTCATCGCGGAGAAAAATCTTGCAGAATCCGGACACGGGCGGCGACTGCCAGCTCGGTCCTGGCGCATGCCCGACGTTGTAGTTACGTACCGTGGACCGGAAGAAGCGGTATTTTTCGTCGCGCCGAACGTTTTCGTGTAGACGAAAGCTACACGGGCCGCCGCCGCGCGCTTAACCTCGCGAAAGCGGGCGTGAACGCATGGCGCGAATAAGCGACAAGCACGCGGCGGACAACATGACACGAAACGAGACGAAATGAACGTCGCGGCTGCACGAGCGTGACTGAGCCGCACATCGTGGAGCGAACCGCGCGAAACGGCCGACCCGCCGACCGACACCGACCGGCGAGCGTTCGTTTTGAAGTTGGCTCCGCTACGCGATTGGTCGAACGACCGAACCGCTTCTACCCGCGCGAGTGCGTTGAACGCACGTCGGAAGGAGCGAGGAAAGCTCGATAACGAGGAAGTTGCTCTCATTGATGGGCCGTTGCGACAATTTTCGATAAACTGAGCGATAAACGCTTGTCGACATCACGTTCGGAATGCGCACTCAGCGCACTTCGATATTGCTATGAATATTGGAAGTATGAAAATTAACACTGCGGTTTTCTGCTGAGTTAAGCCAGTTAAGATAGAGATAGAGATAGAGATAGAGATAGAGATAGAGATAGAGATTGAGATTGAATTGACCTAAAATAGCAAAAATTGAGATTGAGATTGAATTTGACGTAAAAAAAGTAAAATTCACTAAACTTGATATTGGTTTTCTTGCTTCTGGTTAGTTATTTTCAATTTCAATCTCAATCTTTAGTCTGATACAAATAACTTGTGCCCGTTTCTATCAATGTGGATAATTTTAATCTCGGCTCAACTTACTCTTCATCTTTTTCTTATTCTTAAAACTAGAAAAAGATAAAGAGTTAATTGAACCGAGATAAAGTTGAACTGCATTAGAAACGTGCATTAGTAGAAACGTGCATTAGTAGAAACGGGCATTAGTGATACTTAGAAAAAAGATGTAAGTCTCGACGTAAATAATAAAACGTAAGCAGTAAACAAATCCATTTTTTTGTTTGTTACTGCTCGCGTTATTGTCTTACGTTCTTGATTGTGATTGGTCCATTTGCTTATTATTTACGATTTACTTTTTTATGTTTTTAGACTCATAATGCGTTACGATAGTCTACAATAATGTATAATTTTTCAAACATTTCAATCTCTACATAACTATAATACTAATTTTTAACAAAATGTTTTTAACATGTTTTTTTTTATAGATCTCTAGATGCTGAAAACAATACTGCGAACCAAATTTTACTAACTTCGGGTTTCAGAAATAACTGAGGTTTAATGTGCAAAAATGGCTTTTTTGCATTCCCTGGAACTCATCTGGAATGTATACATGTATTAAATATACGAGTAAATATGTGCGCAATGCAGGGAAAACGATAAATTAACGTGATGTGACGTGACGTGACGTTACGTGACGTGACGTGAGAAGAATTAGATCAAGGATATCGTGTTGTTGCAATGACCATTTAACAATATATCGTCTTTAACTTTATGAACGAATTTATTTGGTCACAACACTCTCGAGATGCCCAATATTTATTTTCGAAATATTTTATACATGTATACATTATCAAGATCATTTTTATTTACACATATTTAGATATTCTATTCTGACAAGCAGTATCTTCTTCCTGTGTATTTATTTTGAAATATTACGTATATTTTTTTAAATATTATACATGTATATTATATATATATATGTGTATATATATATATATACATATATATATATATATGTATGTATATTAGTTATTTTTTATTTATGTATATTTATAGATATTTTAATCAATATTTTCTTGGCATTCTTCTTTCAGAAATAATAATGTACTGTTTTCAACTGTAAAAAATTATGTAAAACGTTGTTTATGACAAAATGATAACTTATTTCATGAAAACTTATTTCAGACATCCTAGTCAAGATTGATTTATGTTTTGTAATAAGCGATAATTCTTTGATATTTCATGGCTGGTAAAACGATTGAGAATCATTTCGTCAAATTGTCTGATCGTCGAGGGTAAACAAGCAAATATGAAACGCTAGTAAATCGTCCGACATTTTCAAGATACCTACTTCGAGAGCGCTTAGAAGATATTCCTTGAGAAAGCAATGCTCTTTGTGGGATGATCAACAGACAGCTACGATTCTTAAAGTGCGAAATGGCATTTGCAATCTTTGTTCGTGAGATATCGTTTCTATTTGTTAGTTGTTCAATATGAACTGGTGAAAGTTAATATTTTGTGTTTTATTTTATACCTAAATACTTCATATGAAATTTTCTTAAATAGATCTTGTAATCTAATAAATTTGCGTAAACAATTTGTAAAATTTTTAGATTACATTTTCTAAAACTTTGCATATTATATTTTATAATTAATACTTTATGATACTTGAGGAATATTGTGTAATGCAATCAATGATTCATATAAAGTTCCACGACAATCTGAATAAAATACAAATCTTTTTTATATTAGAAATAAAACGTGGAAGCAAAAGAATATTATCTCCAAATCAGTTCTATTTAATAATACAGTTTTGTAAAATGACATCTTGTTTTTCATGCGATCTAATGAAGATCCACTGTTTCTATGAAGAAAACATAATAAAGAACCCGAAATCGATTTTCTCCTATTATTGAAAAAATACTATGTAACAGTCATAAAATATTTTCACGGTTAAGGCGCAAATAATTGAATAAAATCATTAACCGTAACAAATGTACAAACATTTTCTTATATCTTCGATGTCGCGGGATCGCAAAGTTTATTTGATTTCCTCGTTTCTTATTCAATCGATGAGAAAAGCAGCGTCTCGAATCGCTCAAAGAGATAACAGAAAAGATAGAACAGCGCAATTGAACGACAAACTAGTGAATACTTTCTACGTCGGATGCGATGAAAGGTTGAATGGAGAAATCATGAGCGACGCCAGAAAACAAGAATGAGGGAATCGCCGTGAGAACCGAAAAAAAGGAGGAACTTCGTGTATCATTCTTTCTGGTCCGGTGAAACTTTACCGTTTTGCATGGTTCAAGGAAAAGGTGAAGAGACAAGGCAAAATAAAACCGAGAAAAGTGGAGCGGTTAGAGAGGATGCATCCTATGCGTTACGGATAACAATGCGATCTCGGGCGCGTCCCACCCGCGCGACTGTGAGAGGATTCTCATTATTACTTCTCGGACGCAATACGGAAAACGGTGATTAGTTGTGCAAATGGACAAACGGAGCAGCCTCCGGCAGTAACATAACTATGTCCGATATGGAATAAAAGAGAAAGATAGAAATTCAAATTATGACATAAGATCATTCGAAGATATGCGAAGAGACTTCTCGCAACGATAAAACGCGAATAGAATATTGTGAATAGAATATTGTTTCCGCAATCATTAACTTTGAGAATTAATTTAGAGAATATATTCACTGTTAATAATCTCTTAATTGACTTCAACAGATTAGTTATACAGTTGAAATCTGTTGAAGTCGAATAAATAATATTCATTTTATTTATTTTATTTATGAGATCTTAGCATAAACGAGTCATATATAAACAATTTTATATAAACAATTATAGATAATTAACGGGTAAATTATTGGAAGGGAAATATGCTTATTAAAATTAATAAAAACGTTTAATAAAATTTATAAAGATTATTCTACAATCATTTGCATAAGCAACGTGCAGACGATTATTTCCTTCGATTATACAGATAGAAGAGGCATGTTTTTGTGTTTCCTTTTTCTATTAATTGGTATATTGTTACTTCTTGAACATTTATTTTAAAGTAGTCCGCGTGATTAAACGCACATTTGCCACAAACATGTGCGTAGGCACAATTATCTTTACAAAACAATGAAGAAACTCATTTATTATACGAGAGAACGAACATAATTCACTAAATAAAATAGATAAAATCTGTAACACGTCGTACTCTGTTACTTTGTACATATGTGCTCTTACGTGTCCAATTAATATTATGTTCTTTCACGATTCGAGAAATCTAAATTACGATAGCAAAGTGTGCGTTCAACATGTTGATGAAAGGACCACTAATTATATGGAAAATTGGGTCCCGGTAAAATGAGTTTTCACATGTTGTAACTTATAATGTGAACAAAAATATTATATATAATATACATATAATTCATTGGATAATTCTTGTAGTGTATCAAAAATGTAAAACTTGTATTCACCTTTGATACACATCATAAATATCCATTATTTGAGCCACATGTACATATTTTTGTATATAACATTTTTTTTCACCGCATTATAAGTTATAACATGTGTGAAAACTAACTCTTTCACTGGAACCCAATTTTCTATATAATTAGTTTCGGAGTCCTTTGATAAAATACGTGCAAGCGAGATGAAGTGACGAAAAGCTCGACGATGGAATAGCGGTAGAGAAAAAGAGAACAGAATACTTTCATGTACCAATTATTAAATAGACTGGTACATCTTGGATGCATTTCTCACCCATATTCGTCGATAGTCATAAAAACGGTTGACCTGACTGTGCATAAATATCTTCCGTAAGGATCTGAAATGTTCCATATAAGTCAACGACTTCTTACTTGCGTTTAGTGGTTCAGATTTTGCGTTATAATATTTCTTAATCTTAGGTGGTATTTTTTGCAAAACTATTTACAGCTTTTAAAATGCTTATTAATATAAGATTCAATTTCGCAAAAAAAAGGGAAACAGGAGATTTGTATGATTAAATTGGAGGCAAAATTTGCGAATTTATTTCAGAGAAAGAAATAAAGCGACAGTTTTCTGTTTAGAATTATATTTCAAATGTAGAAAATTAATTTGTAATATTATAAAATTTTAAATAACATTCTTTCATTGTAAAACGCTACGAATTAATTCCAACACCTAATAGTATAGTTTTTTTATCATTGAAGATAGGCATGAAAATTTCAAGTATCATAATTTTGTAATTCTTGAGGAAGCACTTTTACTGTTTTCTGATCTAGTTTCCTTCAGGACATTTTGCCCTAAAAGAAAGATTGAAAATTAAAGCTAAAATAAATAATTAAGAAAATGTTACTACAAAATAGTAATAACATAAATAACGTCAATTTTAACGTGAACATTAAAGTTTTATGCTTACGTAGTTACCATTTGCAATAATTTTCTAACAGTCTATTTTAGATTCAATCTGAAAAGCAAAATTAGATCAGGAAATAAAATTGCCCTTTTAGAAGCCACAGAATTTTGGAAAAACTTGGAACTTCAAATCTGTCTTCAATAACACAAAAAATTCCTATTTTTAAATAAATTTTTTATTGTAAATCAACTTTCTATTAACTTTCTATTCAATATATTTTTAATAGAATAATAAATAATACATCTAAACTGCGTCCATTTATTCCTTTCCCTGAAATAAATTCGTAAATTTCGCCTTCAGTTTCACTATACAAACTTCCTGTTCCCCTTTAAGGCGTGTAATATTTAAACGGAACACATAAACAATATTGCGAAGAAAATAGATACGTGTAGAACAAAAGTCAAATTGTTGCCATTAAATCTCAAACGTTATTTTACAATGTACGATACGATCGTACGTGATCGTGTCGGATGTTACTACACGGTATCTAGAGCACGTAAATGAAAATAAACGCATTGCTTCTCAGGACTATGGAAAATCGGTAATCAACGACACGCGAGATATCTTGTTAGCGACACGTGCTTTGCGAATTGTCGCCTAGCAAAACGAGTAATCATCTTTCGCTTGAGCGAGAAAATCGTGCCAAGACATTTCCTTTCTCTTCAGTTCAAAAGAATTCTTCGCGGGATCTTTCATCGTGTCATTCTTCCCCGGTATCCAATGACGCGCGTTTACAGCGCCTGGATATGTCCGCTGTAACAATCTGTCACTTTTCTATCTCGTTTAGTAAGATGGATTTCCACGCAATACGCGTCTCTGTGCACTTTCCACGCATCGCGGAATTGGATTCGCAAACAAATGCCAATGGCCATTGCGCTGCGTAACATCGGCAGCCGATGATTTTCCATTGAGCGGTTTTGATTAGATTTACTCCGCTCGTTGCATTAATATCACGTTCCCTAGTGTTTACGATTGAATCTTACTTCTATTTCCGTTTCTTTCTATATACGTAGCGTTTCTTCAATCTCATTGTTATTGCATTATAATTGCGTTAATAAGACAGCGCAATTAAACAAGAATTACGTTAAATTACGAGAATTATGTTAAATGCATCAATCAAAACCTTACTTTAATAATAAAAAAAACTTCATTTCTATACATAGGCTCAGGCTTTTTTTATGGAGCATTGAAAAGATTGACTTATAATATTTGCAAATCCGGCCTCTCTGTTACGGTTGAACTATTCGTTCAGCTTACATATGTATTGTGCTATCTACTAAAAAATTTACAAATAAATTGAAGATTGTACTTACTAAAGTAGTTAAGAGTCTCCCGGATCTGATCCGGCGATAATTTCAAATCGACGTCCTCTGATTTGAGAGCAGGCGCTGGGATAAACCAATCGGCGTTCTCGTATCCTGTAAATACAACGCGCGACACAATGAAAAATAATCTCTTAAAAATCTTGCTATTAATATCGCTCACGTGCACAAATCATCATCATCATAACCATCATCATCATCATCATCATCATCGATGGTCGTCGCGCGATCCGAATTCGAGCAATCTAGATTACCCGTCTACTGAAACGGAGATTGCAAAAATGTGTTAAGCGCTTCAGTCTGCAAATTACTTTAAAGCATACTAATATATACTCGGGGCAACGTATTAACGTACTAATTAATGCGGTAATCGTATCCGTTCCGAAGACGGGTAACAAAAACGCCATTGCCTGCACGTTACAATTCGCGCGGAGCGCGGCTAAATGTACTGTTTCTAATTAGCCGCAACCCCATCGGGGACGCACCTTTTAGAGGCTTCGCTTTATTGAAGCGATATTGGGACACGCGATACGGGCCACCATGATCAAATTAATGGTTCACCGTCTGGAACGTGCCACATTATTGCTCCTAGTTCAACGGCACTTGGCGAAAGATCACGCAAGTTCTTCATACTTCCCTACAATGTTCTTTATATACTTTCACACTTCTCATGCTCTCTTTCTTTACAACATGCGATCGTACATAAAGTTCGTTGTTTACCTACTTTCGATACTATTAACTTATTTTTCTCATATTTTTATACCTACGATTGCAATATTACTTTTTACGGCGCTTTCCCTGTTTCGAATGACGCGTTGCAATTTCTTAACGTGACCCTTACGCTCGGTACTTCAGGGCTCCGTAAAACATTCATTTACAAAATGCATTTCTAGACAGTTACTGGACAGGCTTCCTCGATTAATTAGAACGTAGGAAATTCGATCGGGCACACGTTGTGGTCTTCTCTACCTATATTGATTTTCAACACCTCACTTTCTCGATTATATCAAAGACGAGTCATTACAGTAAAAGTTTACAATCATCTATAGAACTACATCAATGTTTTTCTCCTCGCGGAAATTATGTTTAATACTCAAAGCAACTGCATATTATTGACTTTATCAATCATTATCGAATATATGACTCATCAAACCGATCAAGTTTATCTGACATTTGATAGACTTGTCGAGATTAGCACGGCTTTATTGGCAGCTGTATTTTATCATTGTCGATAAATTTTGGAATACAAAATTCGATAATGTCTAGAATACAAATTTTGTATGTAAAAATAAAAAATAAATAAAAAAAAAAACAAAAAAAAAATAAAAAAAAAGGGGAAAAAAAGAAAAAAACAAAAGGAATTCAAGGTTTCTCCGACCGCAGCGAGCGGCCACGCACTTTTTCGTTTTGTATTAAGCACACATTTTACCTTTCACCTCACATTTCTTAAGAGACGGAGCTCACCTTGGAATTGCGTTAAGGTGTCGGCCCGGAGACGATATCTTGGTATTTGTTCTTCTAGCAGGCTGATTATCTCGACTTCTGGCAGTTCCTCGCCGCTGCATACATCTGCAACAATCAAGCGCAGCATCCACCGTGGCGTTACTAACAATAAGTGCGAAGGCGCGTTCATTATGCGCGCGCCATAAAACGCGGTTCCGCTTTGAGCATAATCGAGCGCGCGTGCTACGCGTCATCTCGCGACTCGTTCCCTATATGCGTGAACTCGACGTCAGGTGGGAATGTACGCATTGTGCGTATCCGCGTTAGGCGCACTTACGAAAGAAACAGGAAAAAAAAATCACGCCGTTTAATCGTCGACTTGTTCCGCATAAGAGCAAAAATTAGAATGATGATAGTGTGATCCAATAATAGCGTTGACGCAACGTTTACGTCATTGATACGCAATTTAAGGGTTATTTTCAGAAACAAGTAAAATTTTGGCATAATGTTTATTCCGCTCCCTTTCTTTAAAAATGATACAATAAACTGGCTTTTGCGTTATTATTATTAATCAGTCAAGTAAACATTATTCTATCAATCTCATCAAAAGTGAACTAACTTAATTTTTAAAAAAATCGCAAAAATTGTAATAATTAAAAAAAAAAGGTTTTTAAGGATTATAAAACGAATATGAGAAAAATTTATAGTTTTTCCAATTTTCTGGGAACTTAATTTTTTGAGTTGTTATACTTTTAAGAGAACAATTTTATTGGTGACATAAAATGGAAAATAGAAAATATGAATTTTCGACTACAAGTTGCGCATCACTGCTTTAAGTTATGAGAAATACTTAACAGATACGCTTTACTAAACGACAAAAATAGACAAATGCGATAAGATGTATATATATATATATATATATTCGCGTTATGCGCATACAACTTGCATCATTTTCATAAAAATGAGAAGACGCGAGCGAGAGGCATGAAATTTCATGAAATAATATATTTTGTAATATTACAGCGCACTTTATGCTTTTCAATCGCTATCCTCTTCATCATTGTGCAACGTAGTGCAACACGTTATCATGAAAATGCCTCTTTTATTATTATTACCAAGATTATTACAAAGTTATTTTCTATCGCGCATTACGTTGTACGACCGCTTAAAATTTTCTACCCGCGGTGTAAGACAAGAGTGCGTGACTTGAGTGAGTGGAGGAGGAGGAGGAGAGATTTGTGTGGCTTACCACAAATGAGAGGCCCTTCAACGGTTGCATACTACATCAACATGTTTCATACGAAGCGCAACTACAGACCTTCGCAGTCAATCACCTTTTCAAGATACGATAAACTTCGAAGAGATGCTAATATTTATTTAGTAATTAGAAAATAGAAAATTTAACCAAATACTGTTACATCTATTTTACATGTCTTTGTAACTAAAATTTAAATAAAATTTCATCTAATTTTTAGTAAAAAATTCATGTAATTTTGATGGAAATTTTTCACATCAAGTTGAGTTCGATTGAGATTATTAATCATCTTTAAATTCTGTTAAATTCATTATGTCAAATTATACCCAAATTGAGTTATTTTTAATCATTTCTGCAAGTCGCTACTGTTCTCATTTATCGCTAATTTAAAACAATACTTAATTTGAAACAATTAAAGTAAGTGATTAAAAAAATTAAGCAATTTAATTCAAGAAAATGTATTAAATTTGATTTAATTTTAATTATTTACTAAGAGTATATGTTAATATAAATGTTGTTTATTTTGAAATTAACCACACATATGAATTGATTTATACATTTTGACACATAAAAATTAAAAATTATTTAACATAAGGGATTGAGTAACCAGTACTTTGATATTTAACGATGTTTAATTAGAGGTTTCAAATTTTTTTTAATTACATCTTAAATGTTGCTGAGTAATTTATCCTAAAGTTCACTGAAGATGGAACGTCATGCTCAACAGAATTATGATTCCGGGTTACTAAAGGTTCATCCCAATTAGTGCGATTGACAGCAAAATAGTACTACTGACCTGACGTTGTACACAATTCTCAAGAGATCCTCGTACAGTAGTTATGTAGTGAGCAGAACACATCGTCGACCGAAAAAAATCACAGGACTTGGTGAATTTTTCTCAGGAAAACGTGGCAACGCAATGTATGTAACGCCGGCTCAATTCTGCAACTGCTGATGCTGAACTACAGCGGGAAACGACGTGAGTCTCGGTTTCAATGAACTTTGTACCCCAGAGAGTATAATTTTTCGCTCTATCCCTCTCTCGTGAGACAGAGATGACCCGCACGAGAAGAGTATCGCGCTCAATCGCGCTGCACGAACTCATCGTGAATTTAACATATAATCGCGATGATGTTTCAGATTAGCTGCGCCGATTGTTCAACGCGTGAATGCCGGTGTGCGCTTTTCGCGAAAAATTATGAATTTCCTAGATTCCATTAATGACGAAAAAAACAGTTAGATCGTCGTAACCAGTTCCCAACGTTCGAATTGAATTGTGGAAACCAGATCGCACAAGACTTGTACCCGGTAGATTTACAGGTACATAGTACTATGCTACAACAATTACGATATGTCGAAAAGAAGATAATCATCGTTTAAAAAGGAGTAAAAATAATTTTTATGATTCAGATGAAATTCATATGAATAGATAAAACAGTTCAATATTAACATTTTGGTATAAACTATCAAATATTTAATTTGATATTAATCTTAATTTTACATCCACTATTTTGTATCAATTTCGCGCGTTTACTATTATTTCACTGGAAAATATAAATTATGGAAATATAATTGTGATGGCTTGCCAATCCTGACAGAGCGTTAAAATATTTTATGTATTTGTTGTAGTATATTTTCAAGCTAAATTTTGAAAAATTGGATAAATCTGTGAAATAAAAAATTTAACAGAACTTTAATTATCAAAGAGAATTTTGTTAAATCTAATTTGTTTTGTGTTTAATTTTATGTCAATTTTAATTTTATTTAAACATTTTATGTCAATAATAATAAATAAAAAATCGACTGAGAGATCCATATATATAAGTGAAGAGAGTCATATTCGATCAAAGTAAATCTTGATACTTGATATGTCAGTCTCGTGGGTTTATTGCCGGTTATTATAATATTTTATTAAAAAACTAAATTATAAAAATAATATGATAAATTTTATTACTCGTAAATCATTTTTTTCTAAGTCAATACTGCACAAATATCTCTATAAAACTTAATAATGTTTAGATATTTTAATAAATCTCGATATTTTTGCTATTATAAAAAAACTTCGTTAATATTTTTTTAATTAAAAGATATAAATAAAAAGTGAGCTTCAGCTTTCGTTACCAGTTCTATTTATATCAAATATTACATAAGTCTAAATCTTATTTTTATTGTTCCTAAATTAGATTGTAACTCGCTTTGACTTTTTCTCAAATGTTTATTGCACTATTGTGTGCAAAAAATTGTTTTTTCATACATATGTAATGTATAAATGCGAGTATTGACCTTGGAACTGGCGTTTAATAAGTCTAAGAATGGTATTGATAGTCCGTTCTTATTTTAAGACTGTCTTAAGCAATGTTTTAAGATGCTAATACAGTCCTCTGATTGGCTTATAACATCTTAAGACTGTACTTAAGCCAGTCTCAAATATAAGAATCGATTATGGATACTAGCCTAAATGATTGTATAAGGGTGTGGACTAGTTATTGCAGAAATGATAAAAATACCATCAATGCAGAGCGCGTGCTGCCACATATTGGCAATCGTGTGCAACAAGAAGGTAAATCGTCGGTACTTACAGAAGATAATACCTGCTAGTTGACATCAATATCTAATACATTACCAACTGTGGATTGTATTGGTAAAGAGAAACAAAATGTAATACTATAAATTTTATCATACATACATGTAACATATTTCAATATTGTTTATACTTTCAACAGAGTCAGACAGAATGTAATCAGAATGCATTACTTGTAAAATATGTATTATATTGTGTATGACATTTCAGCGAATGTTTTTATGAATTTAATTTTAAATCAAATGCTAATTTAATATAATAAATTATTATTTTGTGTACAATTATTAACCTTCAACAATAATGATAAGTATTCATGCCCGGTCACTAAAAACCTATTTAATTCCGCAATTAAAAAAGATTAGAATTCAATTTCTTTGTTACTTTTTTTACTTTTAAACCTGCCAATGAAATAGCTTCGTTTTAATCTTATTTTCCGATCACGTTTTACTACTTTGCATGCCAAACATGTAATATAGGAAAAATAATCATTTGCGCGCGAAAAATATCGTGAACGGATATCGTACCATCTCGCCACTTGCTTAGCACAATCTCACGTTTCTCAAGGATCTCTCTGAGCTTCGCTGGCCCCTTAGGCCTTCTCGTTTCCCTTGTGCCTAGGTACATAATCTTGTATTCAGCGCTAGCCGAACTCTTCGCCCTTTCGTTCTCTTCATCAAGGCACCTTCTACCACTATCAACGAAGTTCGCTGCCCGCAAGATTCACGAAATTCGATTCCGAAATTCACAGATTACGTAAAACGAAATAAAACCATCGCGGCGCATCATATTGAACATCTTGCGAATTTATTGTCTGATAAAAAAAAAACTTGTATAATTAACTTGTATAATTAACTCTGAAGACGACTTAATAATTTTCCGATTTAATGACAAACATAAAAATGTCCATAATTTTCGCTCTCTATTTTGCAAAATATATAAAAAACTTTATTTTCAAACTTTGTCTTCAGATAGAATATTTTGATAATAAATCTTCTTTTATTTTTAAAATAAGTATGAAATTTTTCACCCAATCTTAATTACATATATTAATTTACATATATTAATTTTTTTATATAATAAAAAAAGCGCAATTATCACTTTTCAAATTAATGTTATCAAATTATTATAATAATAGATAAGTGGGAACATATGACCCAATAAATTATCGAAGTATGTTTGCAATATGTCGTTAATAAATGCTTTCATCTGTGAATTCTTTTTTATCCGGACAGCTGCGAAGAATTAAATTGTGTAACCCATCTGCGTGCACCTTATCGTATGTACACAATTATAACGAAATTGCTAGTAAATGAGTTAAACGACACGGTCGCGCGTAGCGATTATATATGTTCCACTAATTACGTCGAACGATGAGTGACGCCCGGCGTCTTTTATTCTGGGTGATTACGCGAACACTCTTCGCGACCTATCATTAATGATGATGCGTTTGCGAACTCGGGAAAGACGTTCTTTTTGTGTCGCGAGCCACCGAAGAACTCCGTCGAACGTACGTCGCGATGGAGGAAAATAGCAGCAACCAGTATAGCTGGAGCTTAGCCAATTTTGATTTCCCGTGATCGGGTCATTTATCGAACGAAACTAATTTGAAAAGCTAAATTTTTCATTTTGCTTTAAAAAATTAAGTTCAGAAACGTAGTTGCTTCACGACAGCGAATACATAGAGCTTTCCTCTATTAATCTTTAATTAATTTTTTAACGATTTTATATAATTAACATCCTCTCTTCTTTCTTGAATCCTTAAATATATTTGAAAAAGTTATATTCTAAGATTAATCTTAGTCTTATGGACTTTCTATAATAAACCATTTCCTAAACTTTTTTTTACATTCGACTGAAATTGGTCAATTTCTTACATCTTGATATAAAGCTTAGGTATGGCTTATTGTAGAAAGCCAATTAGATTTATGACTTTTTCGAATATTTAACAAGAAGATAATAATTCGTTAGAAAAAAAAGAAGAAAAAATTGTTCTGGATTAATCAGTTTCTTAAAATGGAAACAAATATTTCAGCTTTATCATATATTAAAAACAAACTTGCGATCGATAAGTTTAAATCTTTACTGTAGCAGTCGCTTTCAACAAGGTTGCTGGCAAACGGCTCGAAGTCAACCAACCAAAAAAAAAACATGTGTACTGTGTATACGCATGCATTATATAATAGACGGGAATAAACTGGCGTTTGCTAATGGAACGAATTTTAATTGTATATATTTCATGAATTTTTCTTCACCGCTAAAATAACAGCTAAATCGTTAGTGCGAAACTTTGTATTTAATCCAGTAGTTTAAAAAAGCCGATCAATCGAAAAATAAGAAATCATATATATTTTTTGCGAAAGTGCACGAAAAACTACTCGTTGATTTAGATTCTATAATGCAACAAAAACTAGCCCTTTCTAAGTCGCCTATTTCGAGATCTGAATAATTATACTTTCGATTTTGAACACGTGGCAAAATAATGATATCTTAGAAAATTGTTACTAGAATATTATCGATCACATTGCAATCAATACGAAGCATATATCGAAGATAAAAGATACTCACAGATATTTGCAATGACAATAAAAATAATCGTATGACAACCAACATTTTTAACATAACGGTTATGATGATGACGACGACGACAACGACGACGATGATGATGATGATGATGATGATGATGATGATGATGATGATGATGATAATGATTATGATGCTGACGACGGCAAAAATGATGATGACTAGAACTATAACGATAATGATGATGACGTCCATGATGATGAGAATGGAGCGTGGCGTATTATCCGCCGGGCAGGAGTAATCATCATTTGGCTCAGGCCAATGGGAAACACCATGAGGCTTGGAACAGGTAAGCCACTTTATAAAACTCCTCGTGCTAGCATCGTCAAAGACAGTTTCTCTTCGTACGCTTACAAAGTAAGATGTAGCAAATCCGTATTTTAAACGCGTGAGATCAACGTGCTGTTTTTCATAAAAATCAGTTTGTTTACACGAGAAATTCTCGTCGGAAACGACAAAAGTTCTCGCTGCACTCGTCAGCCAGTTGAATCATCGTCACGGTTAAACGAATCGTGTGTTTTAATCACTATCTATATTAATCATATTAATCGTCAATCACTACATTTAGGAAAATTACAATTTACAAGTAACGATTCTGATCGTGTTGTGAAACTAGTAGAGCTCACAAAGACACTAAGTGAAAGAATCAATATCTTGAACACAGTTCCTGTGACATCGCCCAAGCGACAGCTGGTACGTATATAAAAATGATAAAAATTTCTTTCGCCTTACCCGTGATGGTCTCAGCGTCGCGTGTACTAACGGGAGTAACTAACTTCTTCGATGACCTTGATGCCTGGAGAATTGCCCTCGCCGTGGGTGAAACTTTCAGGGAGGCGGCGGATGGTCGGATGGGGCCTTCGGGTCGCTTTGGACCCTCATCTTCCACGGTGGCCAGCTTGGACGCTGTAGCGAAGAGCGATATCGCCTCGCTTTCCTGAAATGCAACTTTATATTCAGTTTTCGTGACCAGATTAGAAGAACTAGTAATTTAGATCAATGCATAAAATCTCGAGAAACTATTTTTTATTTTAAACTACTTTTAAAAATCATATTTGCGCACATAAATATTAATTGTAATATTTATGTGTAAATATTAATTTAAAGAAGATTCCGATATTTTATCACACTTAAAAGCTCGCGATAAATTTTTCCAAAATCTATTCCCATCTGACTTTGCAAATACAATTTTGCATACTGAGAGAAAAAATGATTGCAATTATTATACCATTTAATTATAATTTATAGGTCATTTTTTTATGTCAACTGTGTACTTTTTGACAGAACTATAAAATAATTATTATTATTAATATTATAGTAGTAGTAACTGTGTGTGTATGAAAGTGGAACTTCTAACCATAATTATGTCGCCATGTAATTACAATCACCACTTTTTTTCATGCATGTTCTTAATGTAGATTCATTTAATTTCAGACAATTATGTACATTGTAGATCTATGAATTCAGAGAACACGAAAGAAAACACGTTCCTTTACGCGTATGTCATCGCCAGAACAAATACAAAGTATTTTTGAAAGGGGAGTTTCACCTTCCCCACAAGACCCTAAATACCCATCGGGAGGAACCGGCGTTTAAGCCGTTGCGCTTATTTAGATTGGTAGCGCTCCGGCGGACACGTTCATTTTGCTCGTCTTCCGGTTCTAGTTTATTTCAGGACACTGACTCGAGACGACACAGACATTTCGACGTTTTTGCAAAACTATAAAATCTACTAAATGTTCATTACGCCTTCTCACAGCAGACACTGATTTTAATATAATTATTGATTAATAATTTTAATCTTTAAGTAGATAGGTTGTGTTCAAAACATTCCTAAAAATTTTTATTTTTGTAATTAAATTTTTAAATAATATTTATAAAATTAAATTTATTTATGCTTTTATGATGCAGAAAAACGTAAAAATGAACTTTAAGATTTCTAGGCAACACTTTTTACTATCTTCCCCCAGAATAAGGTTTTTACGATAATTATAATAGAATGTGCTGCTATGACCACCTACCTAGTATTTAAAGGTTAAATTTATAAGTAAATATATCCTTATAATTCTAAAATCTAAAGCTACGATCCTGCTGTCAACAAATTACTTTCGGTAGCAAGATCATAACTGTATAAATTTTAAAATTATAAAAATTAGATATAGATAAAATTAGAATAGAATCAACATTGAAATCAATATTGAAAGGATCAATTAAATTTGCATAAACAAACGCATGTAACAAACTCTATATTTTGTTAATCTTAGCAATCTTGATTCCCTTACAGAAATTTCTTTGTCATTGATATCTTATCAATGCGAGTGATAAGGCAACAAGAACCGCTCATTTATACGTCATATATTAATCGTCATTATGTTTATTCTCATTAACACGTATACCGTTGAGAGTTGAAACATCCACAAGCTTTAATACCACGTTCCACCTTTTAATTTATGCAGAGCACGAGCAGAAATATCTAGGCTAAATAGACGTTACGTAAAATTTTCAGATGATATTTATGAGCAAACCTCAACGTCACAGTCGAAGTGGTGCAGCTGCGTGACCGGAGGTGCTCCGAGACGCGTTTTGCACATCTCTTTCGACGCGCCAGTCAAGGTTCGTTAGCATTTCGCCGTCAATTTCACTTTCTGATCTTCTCGGTGGACTTGGCTACGTAAGGCGACACAAGGTTATGAGAAATAATACTATATTGATATTCATTCTAATGCCGCTGTACTATATACGAGGAGAACGGAACGCGAAAATGTCATAAGGCAGATAATCGATCTCCAATCGATATCTTACTGATGGTATTCTTGTAGAAATTAACGTGAAGCGATAAAAATAATTGAACAAAAGCTGCTAATGTATACGTGTAAAAAAAATACGCTACGAAATAAGAAAAGATAAAACTGACCAAAAGCTTGAATATAAATGTGATAAAAATTGATTATCAACTGGTGAATTTAAATAAATACGGAAGCTCTTATCGTGTATCGATGTGACAAACAAAAAAAGACACACACTGAAAGACATTTCTTAAAACAATCAGTAAAAAGTATGAAAAATTAATTCAACTGTAAATTACTTTCAACACTTCAATATCCATCCTCAGGACAGAGCGAACACTAAAAGGCTAATTCGTAATGGCAAATAAAACATGAAGAAACTGCTTGTTAACTTCACAAAGTAGTCATGAACGTATCTGTGATTATCTCAAGCCTATCAATTGGTTATATAGTCGACATTAATCGCGCATTATTTTGTCTCATGGATAAATACGAGATAATGTAGCATTACTAAAATCAAATGCGTTTCGCAAATTCAGAGAATCTCTCTGAGATAGCTGATAGTTTTCGTAGGGTGGGGGAGAAACCAGTCCGCTCGTTTATCATTTCGACATATGGTACTTTAAATGAGAATTTCATGTTCGTCATCACCGAGTGTAATAATGAATAAATGACTGCAACATCGATTAAAGCAACCGCGACTTTTCTTAGTTCATAGTCAAACACACTCTAAAAATAGCGATGTCTATATAATTCTCACTGTGTTGGTGTTAATTAATATTAACGCCAATATGATGTGGATTTAACATCATGGGTTTTTAATCCACACCATAGTGTTGATATAAACACCAGAGGTGAAACTCATACCATGTTGGTGTTAATATTAATACTAACATAAGTGAGAATTATATAGGCACCGCATGAGTGTTAAATCCACACCAGAGGTGTTGAATCCATACTGATATTTTTTAGAGCGTACACGAAATGTCTTAGAAACATAAAAGGACTAATTAAGTAATTTTATATAATATTTTACAAGAATTTGAAGATTTTACAACGTGACACAATCCATGCGATTCGATACAATCTATAGAATATGAGTATGGTCAATGTAATGCTACAAATATCTTGAAATATTCTTTAATTGGTCAATTCATAAAATTCTTTCTTCTGATTGGTCAATCAAATGCTTCAAATAAAGTTAGTCCAATAATTCTTAGCTATTTTTCATTTGCGAGTCGTTTTTATCGCGTTCTTTTGATTTTTATTTTTATTATATTTCATGTTTTTGGACCTGAACACAAAGATTGTCGTAAGTGTTTATGATAAGTCAAGGATTAACGTATAAAGCACGTAGGCCGTCTACAATGAGAGTAATATTACGTAGTAAGCTATAAGAAATTGACTAATCATAGTTGATTATTCTCTTCACATTCGACTGAGATTGGTCGATTTCTTACTGCTTACAACTTTACCATATACAAGTAAGTCAAGTAAGAGCGTAGTCGACCAGCGTGATGTTGCACCATTTCATGTCATTAGCCTTGAGATAGATTCGAATAATTTCGTACGATATATCTAAACCTTTCTGCTTTCAATTTTGTCCTTGACGCAGTGTTAGGATTCCGCGAAAACAGATTCACTATTTTTTTATCGTCTTTTTTGTCCACTTTGCATATTAAGCCACGTTCCAGTAAATCATCGACATTTTTTGCCACATTATATCGCTGCACCCACTTCTGTACGAATGATTTCGACTTTTTCATATATTTAGCAGCCACTAATTGTGACATTTTTGGGTGCAGAACACAGCTTCGTAGCGTGATGCGTATTTGGTACTCATGGCGCTTAATGTGATTCTCTTAAGAAAGTTCAATGAATCTTCCTTGATAGTGCATCAAGGACAAAGGTGCCCTCTATGGATTCATGATAGATTTAGGACGATATCTTTTATTAGCTTTGAGTAAGGCCAACCACGATCTTACTTGACTCACTGTAACTCCAATTGCAGACGATATCCTATACAATTCCTTTTATCCTATGCAATTTTTGTGCTTACGCCATTTCTCGCAACTTACAAAGGAATTTGAAAAAATGGAGGATAGCGGCACCTCCAAGGGCTGATAAGCCATCATCTCCATGCGCACGTGTCGGGCCAAAGATCCACCGTGGGAAAGATCCGATGCGGCGTCCCTCTCGCATCCTTGCGTCTTGTCGCGGCTTTTGAAGACGCGCCGCGCTGAATTGCGGCGCGCTTCCGCGAATGCGATTCCTCGCAACAACATCGCGGGACATTGATGTCACGGCATGAAAGAAAGGTGTTTTATTATATTTAACAAATAGAACGGCGATTTTGTCAATCCTCGGCGATAAAAAGGAACACTGAGCGATGCGCGTGAAGTCTTTGATTATGCTGATGTAATTTAAACATCAAGATTCGCGCGACCCGATCGAATCGAGGGAAGCTAATTCACGGAGAGATATGTCCGCAACTGTTAAATTTGCAACTCGTGTGAATGGGCAAAGAAATTTGTACGAATACGGTAAAGCGCAAAAACGCACACGCAACTGTCGTAAGATTCGATCCTTCGCTCGGATAACTCAATCAGTTCTGCAGGATCGAGCCGATATGTATAAGAGCAATATGAGTTTTGCTCGTTATCAACGGATACTGGCTGATAACGTGGTACAATCTCATTTGAAAATGCTTGCTTGGCGTGTTTCGCATATGGAGTGAAAGTGCGAAAAAACGAAAGATTTAAAAAATTAACGGATATATACAAATAAAATACGAGAGAGTCATTTTTTTACTTAGGAACATTATATTCGTAGATTATTTTAAAATAAGATCGCGAGATTTTTTTTTAGAACGCACACCATCGATTGCGCGAATTTGTACACAGATTGCGACAATCATAAAATAAGGAACTGTTGCTGTCAGAATTGTTAATCATTAATCAAAGACAAAGTTGAATAATTTTGTGTCGGTTTGTACCAATCTTATTCACCTAGCTTTTTTTTTCTCACTCATCATGTATTGACCTATACTATGTTAAGTCGCACATTTATTTTTTTTATAGAGCTCCTGCATCTAATTATACAACATAATAATTACAGATTAAATAACTTTGAACATATATTTTCGTAATTATTGTATTGTACATTAATATAATTTGCATATTGGATCCCAAACAACTTGCATATTGATTTCAAATTAGAATAAAAATGTATCAATTATTGAAAATTATGTGAGATGCGTTTCTCTAAAGTAATTTCATTATTAAGATTATCTTTGTTTGAAAATTAAAACCTCATTATTGCGAGCGAATCTTGTTTAATTTATGCTGCACGTGGAAGAAATTTTTTATACGTGATACATATATGTGTAGCACTCTGATCAAGAAACATGATGTAACGCGGTATAAACATAATAATAAAACGTATTGATGTTTATTTCACACTTTTCTAAGTAAAGTTTCTCTATGTTTGACAATTTCTTATTCAAAAAGAAATTGTAATTTTATATTATACAGAGAAATTAAAAATAAATATAATTTTTGTACAAAATAAAAAAAGATTTCATAAAAGATTTTAATTTAGACGCCATTGATATCAATTTTAGATATTCGATAAGTGTACACTTTTTAATATGTTTAATACATGTGATTTTTTATCTTTTACACAATCTTTTATACATTATTTACAGAACGAATTGGGAACTGTAAGCTGTGACTGTGTCTCAGTCGCGATTCGAAGAGCGAGCCGACTCAATCGCGAAGTGATCCCCAAAGAAGTGGACATCGCGTTAACAGAGCTGACATTCATCTTATCGAAACGCTTTCTGCACAGACTGTACATTGCTAAGTCCGTCGTTCGACTCCTACCAAGATTAAGGTAATGCTCGGTTGATATGATACAATAGTTATGTAGTCTTTTCAGTTCTCTATGGTGCTTCCGCTGGATGGCCGCGACATTCACGAGACCTTAGAATAATATCTGAAGTCGTAGAGAAAGAAAGGTACGATCCTATATCATCCCTTGTTATATGATTCACGTAATATTACTCATTTAGATGAAGATTAGATTAAATGTCATCTCTAAGAAAACCAAATGGAAACGAAGAAAACTTGCATCTCTGAGAATCAGAAATCTTAAGGAGAATTATGACTTTTACATTAACTTATTTTCATATATAAATCCTGCATCACAAATCTTGCGACATTAAGTTTATAAAAATTAATTTAACTAAAATATTTAAAGAAACTACAAGAGGATATCTAAGAAGATATAAAGATAAATATTTTTTATGAAAAAAGTTAAAAAGCTCACCGTAGCGTAAGATGAAATTTTTGGTTTCCACTATGGGAAACCACTACAATCACCAATGGAAGAAGTCGTGCAGAGACTGAAACAATAAAATAGCATATAATTAGTGACTTAAATTTTGCATTAAAATTACATTTAATAATCTCAAGCCTTTATCATATTAAAGAAATCACTTTTTTTTATAAAATTAACTAGATATGCAATTTTTATCATGATTGCATTTTTCATCTTTTATCTACTAAATGCATTGTTCGCTTTATCATCAAATTAGTATTTACTATCGTGTCATTCTGTGTCCTACTTGGCAAAGATTTATACTTCGTCCAAATGTAACTTTTGTAAGAAATAATTGTTGCAACATTATGTCTAAAGTGAGAAAATGATTTTTGCAATGACAGAATCATAATTATAGAAATCATGTCAAATAGAAATTGTTTGCCATCGAATAATGTCTACAGTAGAGAAATCCTGGAAAAAAAAATAAAGAAAAAGGTATGGTAAAGAGGAAGATGGGAAAATCTCAAAACGAAATGAAGCCTTATCACAGAGTTTATCTCTCTCTCGCTTTTTTAGGTTATAAGAATATTATATCTCAGAGAGAGATAGCCGGTGCAAAGTACAAGGTACGCGTGATTACAAGATACTTTAACTGTCCCGAGTATACCTGTCCGCCCCTCCCTGCGTGTTTTTACAGGCGGGGTGGACGATAAAAGCCCGCGAGCGATTCGGATTACAGTCAAAGGATTAGATCAGCTGTTGACGTCGCGAATCGGCGACGCGTGCATCGAACTACGTTTACGGAAGTCGTACCTCGCGGATCACGAAATTCACGAGATGGTTTTCGTGTAAAGGAAGTCAGCGATGACTGTGCTCCTTTAATATATCGATTGAATTATTCCCGCAGTAACATCAAGCGAACTTGGACGGAATTAGGTTAAAAGACAGCGTCATGTCCTCGCGTCGCCAGGACGGGATACGGAACGGCGACGGATTCGATCGCTTACCGTGCGTCGATGTCTGCCGCACATTCTTGCTCGAGAAAATATACAGGGAGATACGCGTCAACGCTATCGCGTGCACGTTCACGTCACTGACATTGCCCCGTGAAGCACCGGGACACAGCACCGTACAGTTACACTCCCGCGCGTCGCGTTCGCTTCCAGGACCGTGGCGAGTGGATCGAATGACGTGAAGCGAGTCACGAGATAAAACGAGTTGAAGGACGCGCGCGGACGAACAAACGAGCCAAGAGGCACCAGGCTGTGATCGCGTCACGGCAAGCCAACGTCGAAAGTATCACGTTAAATATAGGATGCAAAATCGTGATGCCTACGCGATCTGCGAGCGCCTCGCGAGATGCGCACGCCGAGCGATATATTCGGCGCCGTTTATCGCCTCCTGCCTGAAGTTAGGCGCTTTACGACACTCTACGATCCGAACGTTTCGCGCCTTGATACCCTATGCATCGTGACTATAGATTTGTATAGACAGACCGCGCGCGTTTCTGAAACTTGAATTAGCACTATTAAGATAATAATGATTCAGATGCTTTCCTTAACTAATTTTACAATTAACGGGGAGGAAGAAAGTAAGAGAAGCAATTGCTTTCTTTACTTTTAGCCCGGTATTCATAATGAATTCTTATTTCAAGACAGTATAAAGCCTGTTCTACAATTGCGTAAGCGTAGTTGAAAATGGTTGTAGTTGCAAGAATTAATTAGTCATAGTCAAACACGAGGAGAATATTTGACTGTGTGTGAGAATATTTGATGTTCATCAATTCTTATAAATACAGTGGCTGCGTTTAAAGAAAAAGTAACTTTTACAACTGTGGTAAATTTAAATTCTTTAATATGATTGGTTTATGTAGTTAGATTCAGCAAGGAATTAAGAGCAAGACCAATCATATTAAAGAATTTTGCAACAGTTGCTGCTTTTTCTACTGAATGCATCCAATCACTTATAACTACGTTTACGCAATTGTAAAATAAGCTTAATGTTTTAATTATTTTAAGATATTAATACATGTACAGCACACATTTGTGATTGATTTATATATGTATAACATCTTAAAACTATATCCAAGCAGAACAACAAGTCATTATGATATCAAAATGATGACAAAATGATTTCAGAATGATCATTAAAAGTCATTTTTCAATCATTTCCGATTCATTTTGACATTATTATAACTTGTTCTGCTTGAGTACTTATATGGATAGTCTTCAAATTAATTAAGATCTGTTCGCGAAATCTGTTTACGTGAAATCCCTCAAAATTTTTTAACTTAAAATAAGATAGATACATATTTGGGAGTTGAAAAGAGAGAAAGCGAAGATGCTGAGTACAAAAAGTACAAACGCGACAAACCTTAAGAATCAATTATAGATTTGTTCTTTTTAACTAAAGTTCTTGCTACAGTTCATCTTTCTTCTTTTTTTCTCTACGTTGCAATGTTGCCGCGTTGAAGAGAAAAAAAAGAAAAAATGAACCGTGCAAAAAGCTAAAAAGAATAGGCTTTATGAGTACCGGTTTTAGATGCTCATTATCTCTTTCTCTCTCTCTTTCTCTCTCCTCCCCTCTTATTTCCTCCCTCCTCTCATATTTCCTTTATTCAATATATTATGTGACAAAACATCAGTCACATATTATCTCCATTCTTCGAATTAATATACAATTTATCATGTAAGTCTATTCAACATTTTGTAATTTAAAATATTGTTTTTGTGTATACATTGTTTTTATATATATGACTTTGTATATATATATACTCATGTAATGAAAGTAGGAGAGTGCAAAAAGCAGTAAAAGAATAAATAATAATTAATAATAATTAAATAAAATTACATAATTTCAATTGGTTAATTTAATCAATAAAAAGACATTTTAAATATAATGTTCATCTAAAAGTGCCTAATTTTAGACGTAAAAATATAAATGAAGCGAAAATACGAACGATATTTCATGTTAAGTATCAACTTTTACGATAATCACGGTAATCACAGTCGCGGTTCTCTTTCGAATATAACTTTGGCATAACTTCACATCAAGCACGCTCGAATATAAATGTATTTTCGAGCAAAATTTTCATTAGATTTTTTTGTAAAATTTTTGAATTACAGCTTTTTTGAAAAAAATGATTAAATTAAAATCATTATACATAAAACTTAATTGTATATTAATTTTAATTTTCACGGCATGATGATTGCATCTCTTTTTTTCGTTAATTTCACATTAAGCAGTCAATGAACTCGAATAAACTGCTCTTCTGTTTTCATGTAAAATTTTCATTATTTTTTTCCAGGATTTCTGTATTTTTAATGCCTTTTTGGAAAAAATTATTAAATTATTAAAAATTATTAAGTACTTGGTTGTATATTTGTACAACAATTTAATTTCATACTTCGTTTTGAATTGCATAAATCTTTTTCTACATAGGTATAGAAATAAAGTACACATATAAAATATTTGCCCGGATATTAATATTA